AAATGACAACCAAAGCAAGAAATTACATACTTGGACCAATCAAAGTCTTGCAGCTTGGTGAGTTTTGAGAAGAAGTCCAAAAATCAGGATAGTTTCTCTGCCATCGTCACGCCAAACAGCTTGTAGATGCTTGTAGTTAAGTGAGAGGGATGGATTCACTGGGGTGGATTATATATACACTCCTTATCAGCACCAAACATCCAGGCAAATGGCTCCTACATGGGCAAATCGAAAGAAGGAAGCGCACGACTTAATTGGCCAGGTTTGCCATCATAAGAAAATCCAACTCACTACAATACCGCGAATATGGTGTTGGTCTATTGACTCATGGTACGTTCCATACAATTTGCCAACGCATTGACAGGAAACACGGAAGAAAACCTTACTATGGCACCATTGCAAATACTCAACTCCTATTACGATCGAACGGCAATCATCTCCTTTGCTGTCCCCCCACACTCTATCGGCATGGCTGTCTCAGACGGTGTTTTCCTCCGACGCCGACTCCCTGGTAGACGCGCACCTCTGTGGACAACTCTTCACAGGTCCTTGGTGCCAAAGATACTCCCCCGCAAACGATCCCTTGGAACCTGAGAAGGAAAAGGTTTCGACCATTTTCCGAAGACCAACCCGACGTGGTTTTGGGGTTCCATGTGGTCCGAATAGCAGGGGAGTATGTCTCATGCCTTGAAAGGACCTGGGTCACAAAGCCACTGGAGGAAGGACCTCTCTGGGGCCCTGGGGATACCCTGATGATACAGTATCAGTGATACATGATACACGTAATAAGTTGGTGTGACACGAGTATGGGTACGACATAGTCGGACTAATTTTGGTACACATACTGTAATACAACAGAACCCGAACTATCTGATGATGATGTCTTGGACTAACTTGGACTCACAAATGGTTATTCACCTATCCGATGCCAGTGAATCCAAGCAAACTATATACAGTAAGTACAAAAGCTTGATGCAGCTGAGCTAAGTAGTGGGATTTTGCAGCCACCAAGAATTTTTCAGAATCAGCTGATCCCTCCACATCACTCTTGTGTCACATGAGCCGTGGACAATGTCACTTGCAGCGAAGGACATGTAACATCAAATATTGTGCTGTTGCTGTTTTGATATTTGCCGGTGGGGTTTCTATTGTTTTCGAATGTTTCTCCTCAAACCTTAGTTCGCAGCATGCCTAGGACATGCATATGCAGCCCTTATATAAATGTGTTCCCCGGTTTTTTCTAGTGACGGACGGAGCGACACCATGAGGCACGAGCTTTTCACCCAACTCACCAACTCGTTGCATTTTACCTTGTCCTGGGCGAGCTTCAATCTTTGTGAAGCTCCAGCCGCGTGCACTTGGAATCTGACTACCTTTATGGCTGGAAAATGCGACGCGAGAGGAATCAATAGCCACTGCAGGCTATGGGCGGCTGCGGAACGCGAGCTATGGCAATATGTCTTATGACGTCGAGCAATTCCAGCCACACCGGATATTGAAACGTCCTTTTGTGGTCAATCCGCCTGATGATCTTCGGCCATCCGCACCATGCGACATGAGAATCCAGTTAGCTTGATGATCCAACAATCCAGCACACCTGAGCCACGAATCAACACAACAAACCTTCCGGACCTCTGGCAGTGTTTATGTACATGTACACACCTAGAATCACCTAGAGCCTGATTGACCTCTGCTTTGATATGAAGAGACCATATTTTGGGTATTTTTGGGTGGTTGGTGGTCCAAAATAGAGGTCACTCAGGCTCCAGGTGCCCCATTGTACCTGCCAACATGTCGGACTTTGGCGCATCTGGACGTCGGATTCTCGGCATGGCCAGGCCATCATGAGTCATTCAGGCTGTGATCGGCCCTTGCGACCCAAAGGGCAATGGCCAAGGCTAAAGTGGCGGCCAAGCCCACCTGCGCAGTGGAAACACGCTTGGAGGAAGGCACAGTCCGGTGAGCTTGGGAAGGAGTGGCTTTGGGGATCGAGATGCTCACCCAAGAGAGCATTCATAGACCCTGATGATGTTTCTGGCTCCAAACAAAGGTGGCCTCCCAAGTGTACCATGTTAGGGTCAAAGAGCATGAGAACTTAACAAACACCAGCACCCGGCTCGAACAAAATCCTGTCATATGAGGGGTCATCTACCTAGACTGCTGCAAGGCGACCAGGAAAAGATGGGACCCTGCATTTTCATCATTCCCTTTTGGACACCGATGGCTTGACCAACGTCAATATGGATCCGATCGTGTTCCAAACCTTGAGCCACACTCCAACCACCGGATGCCTTGGAAGCGGAACATGAGATATGATGAGATAATATGAGATACAAATTCCTCGTCAGAAACAGCGATGCTCCAACATCACCCGGATGCCAGGGCATCTCCCCTCATCCCTCATGCTTTCTTTCATCAGCCTGACCGCTGGGCGGATGTGCCGGCTTTCCCATAGCTGTGGGCCCCTCCTGCGACACAAGCGTGGGCATCGGCCAAAAACAGCAACACATCTTCTTAATATATACACTTCATCAATATGTCTTAGTGTAAGTTATTATATAATTAGTCGGAAGTAGAGCAAACACCAAACCTCCACCATACCCTTACAGCCTAGAAACACTCAACCACCTCACACTTGTCACAACTTCTCAGTCAAAGCCACCAACAACCCCCTCTCATTCCAGTCTCACTTCGGACTGTCCCCTCCGTCCCGTCCGCTCCTGGAAACTCCGGAAGCGGCTCGCGGGAATTCCCGCGGCTGCCGCGCCCGCCGACCCAATCGTCTGGCCGCTCCCGGTGTTGGCAGCCTGACCCGCCATCGCCTGAGGCGCCGCCATCGGCTGGGTGGCCGCCGAAAAAAACGCTCAACATCAGGGCTCTGGGAGGCCACTGGTCTTACAAATTGGCAGGTTTGTAAAGAATTTCCCCATCAGAACTGCTATAGTAGTCAAATGTAGTTAGGCTGCTACAATCTGGTCTGAACTTCCTGTCGCTATCACCCCTGAGAGTCAACTTGGTACCTAATTAAGGTCTTCCTTGGAAGCTACCCTCGTCGGTTCACGGTGTCATCCAAAAGGCTTCAAAAAACTATATACTCATCATCATCTTAAGCAAAGCCAGCTCAAAAGAAACACGCTGCTCATCGGACGAAATGAGTCATCTTCACGGAGCTCGGCAACTCGGTCCGGACCCAGCACCAGTGGGGAGATGATCCAACAATGGCAGTGGTGGGACCCAGCTCCTGTTGTTCTTAGGGTGAGCAACACACTCTCCTTTTAGGCCTCTTCTCCTTGCGTAAGTCTTTCCCTATGACCAGTATGTGGGTGCGCATTTTAATACGGAGATCCCTGGGTTTAGGTCCAACTGGGAGCTCTCTCTATGTGACCTATATATAGCTATACACCCATATATGGTCAATGGTACATCTTCCATGACACCGTAGCCCGACGAAAAGCACGCCTTCCACGACATTTCCCCCACCCCTTCCGGACGGGTGGCCGCTGCGAAGAGTGGATCGGAGGCCAGTTGTCCATGGACTCTCGCCTGGTGGAGCCGCCACGTTTGCCTCGGACCAGGTCACCTCCGACACCGTCAGGTCCAGGTCACGGTTCCCGGTCGTGCCATCACCCCGAATTGGAGGGCCGGAGGCTTTTTCTCAAGTGTTTCTTCAGTATAAACAGCGCCGTGGTGAACAAGGCATGTTTAGTGATGAAACTCTTCTGCTCTGGATTTGTTGTCATCTCAGTGGAGCAGTATGGCCAGGCCCCTTTGTACATGGGAATGGCAACAACAACGTAACCTTAACTGCAACACCAGCTTATCTGAACATCTTAACGGTCCCACACAAACAAAACCATGTATCATAAGAATCAGCTAATTAATTAAGCTAAGCACCAGAACCCCACGCGAGCGGTCATCGACCCGGGTCGAAATTGGGTCCTTGGGCCAAAGAACAGCATAAAGGACCTGGCATGCCCATGAGGGATACCCATCAGTGAATGCCAATCATCTAGCACGTGTGAATACCCCATGATGTCCCAAGTACTGCTTCACGGGTCTTTGAAAGTCCCTGACTCGGTGCGAACACCACCGGCCTTTTACCCGTTACTACTGCGCTGCGCCAGCCAGCACGGTCGAGGTGCGCACCCAGCCAGATAGCCACCAGCAAATTCAATGAGGAAGAAGAATGATGGCTAATGACCTGAAGAAACGAGGGGAATTGGCCCGCCATGAGCAAGGATTTGGTTGATCTGACATGGAAGAATGATGGCAGTGCGTTCCATAATTCGTCCAACCGTTCCCAAGTCCAATGATCCCATTGTTTTATATGTTTTTGGCGTTCCCACCAGTGTCAGAAATAGACTGCCCTCCTATAGGAGGACAGTGGGCTGTGAGATATGCAGTGTCGCCCCACCAGTATGAGAACAACGTCCGCTACGATGGCCACCCCGCTGGATCATGCTGTTCATCACGCATTCCAAAAAACGTTGAGCCCAAAACAGCCTAACACATACATAGGAAGTCTCTGACTTCCTTGATGTTGTCACAAGATGTCACAAGGAGAATTGATGGTCCAATAGAAAAGATCGAATGCTGACTCAGGAGGTTCTCATATCCATGGATTTTGACTTGCAAGTGTTGGAATCCTTTCAGGGCACCCAACTGACTGAGGAAAAGGGCGGGACTCTTAAGTATTAAACGCAAACAATTGTCCACGAGTATACATTCTCCGCTGAACTGGACTCTTTCTGAATGGCAGTTCATACCTTGCAACCTGAATGAAATCGTAAGTCCATCCAGAAGTCGGCCCATTTACCACCAGAATGAGGTCATTGACTTGGTCCTTCAAGGTTCAACAAGACCCGTGAAAGTTAGATCCACCCACAAGTTTACCCAGGAAAATCCAAACATGCTTCTAAGTATAAATTCCAACATCAAACCTGCACCGCAGCCACCGCATGGCCACTATTTTGATCACTATGGAACCGCGCTGGCTCATGTCAGGCCACCGACCAAGCGCTGATCGCTAAGACCGCCAGCAACGCCAGCACCGAGCAAGCGACAATGACCTGAACAAGGCCCCGCTCAGGTCAAAGAGCGAGGTAGCGGTAAGACATGCCTAAGTCAACTGTGCCTATGTCAACTGGTGCCACGCAGTTTTTTTTGGTACATGCGTCTCTCTCACAATCTCACTTGATGAAGCTGTTACAAATCAAGCTAATGACAACCCGCGTGCACCATTCGTGTAATCGCGGCAGTCTGTTACATTCCGTCCCCGTTCTTCCATCTGCAGTTCCTTGTCGGGCACCTTGGCTGCCGTGGACGGCTCCATGCCTTGCAGCAGCAGCAAACTCGCCAAGATCCGCGAGCAGTCCAAGGGGAAGCAGGGCACCAGTAGGTTGAAGAGCCTTGGCAGGTCAGGTTGGGCAAAGATGTGAAAACTGAAAGGGAATCATATCCGTCATATCCAAGCTAAGGCATGCTAAGGCAAAGGGAAAGCCCTTTTCACACCATGTTGCACCCCATGCTCTCCGTATATTTGCCGAGTTTCAGAGATGCAATTTTGGTAGCTGGATTGGGGAGTTGACAAACAGGTCTGTGACTGCATGTGCATCAAACTTGAGTCTGCATGTGACCGAGGGCTCCAAATATATGCTGGGAAATTTGTTGAACTGAACTAAGGGGAAGAAGGGAAAGAATGAAACAAAAAAGCAAACAAAGGCCGCTCAGTCGACCAAAACATTGATAAGTCAACTTGGAAGACAGTTGAGGGACAACCTAGGGCCTCCACAGGGCAGCAGCTGCATGGAAAATGGCCAAGGGCTTGAGGCAAGCTACGTGATGGCATCGATGTATGTATTGCAATGTAGCGGACTAACTTAGTATATAGAGGAAAACTGAGCAACCAATCCTGAGCAAGCCCTTGGCTTGAGGCCATGTCCACTAAAAAACCTGACTCACAGGACAAGGAGCAACATCGCCAGGTTGGTATTCAACATGGCAATGCACACCAAACTGCCGAAATCTTGGTCCTGAAGTCACGGCGGCCCAGCCATCTAATCTAACATGCTCCAGTGGGCCATCCTCCGGTTCAGGTACACTCCTCCAAACCAAGATCTCACAAGGGCACATTTTATAGTTGTTCATTGTGCGCCTGCAGTTCTTAGGTTTTAGCCGAACTTCAAGGACAAAGGAATTATATATATATATATATATATCCTCAAACCCCTTCAGCTGGCACCCTTCGCTCAGCATTTCTGAGAAAACAAACTGACAGGCAGATGATCCCCGCGAACACTGCGGTTGATGGCATCAGTCCCAGTAGCCCATTTGGCTTGACCCATCTTGCTCTGCTTGTCCCGATGGACACCCAGGTGTCAAAGCTTGCAGTTTGCCAGGAAGGACTCTGGAGTTTCTCCCCCATCAAGTTCTGTTGGTCCCTTCCATGTCTGAAGATATCATTTCACAGCAATGTCCCTTCCCTGTATAAGACCTCTCGCAAACCTTCTGGCAAGGCTCAGGTCCCATCACTGACCTTCAATGTTAGCGGGAAAACTGTAAAATCAAACCTGTGAAGAGTGCCAGTCAAACATGGTCTCAAGGTTTTGATACAAATACAGTTCAACGGACATGTGTCGGGAATGTGTGTAATCCTTACCAAGTAGCTGGCTGAGCCAACATGTTCTATATATATATAGTTATAATGTACGATGAAATTCTAGAATTGAACTGTGTTCACATTCGTAAGAACCTTCCTAGCTTCAACCGAGCACTATCTTCTATCAGTCCATGGCTTTGACCCCAGTCGTTGCACTGGTCGCTGCCAAAGGGTCAATCCAAAGGCCCTGCGTCGATAAGGTCACGGACCCATGCAGGAGCGCCAGCACGGCTGCCCAAAGGCCCAGCATGGGCACATGGGTGGCAGGGCCAGAGCCCGAGATGAAGATCTGCTCCTATCGACGGTTGGCCTCGACATGGACCTGTTGGCCTCTTTGGGCTGGACCTGTTGGCCTCTTTGGGCCCCCCCGTGGGGGGTCATACACAGAAAAAATACACCATTCTGAGAAGCAGGGTTTCTCCAAGAAATGTGGACTCTGGCAAAGGCCCCTCCTAAACTTCCTCGGACCACAAGAGAAGCCCCTCTTTTTCTGTGGACTGAGGGATGCAGGAGAAAGAATTAGTGAGTCTAAATCATGTTTTGAAATGATGGAGAGTTTGTTTCAACCTTAATGGCCACTTCTTTCCATGGCCATAATCGAGCAGCTCTTAAAGATTGTACAAGCCAGCGGTGGCACATCAAGGACAAAAGACTACCATGGAGGTAGTACAATGTGGACTTGGCAAAGCTCCCCAAGCAAGTAACCCAAACTAACAACCAAATCCACCTCCGAAAACTTCCCAATCCACATGGACGTTGCGCCCATCACGTCAGCCCCGTCGTGGTCGTCCTTGGGCTTCACGGAGCCGCCGATGAAGGCTAAGCCGCCCAAAGGCCACAGGAGGATGTGGTCCGCCGAGCAGCCCACGCGCTTGGCCGCCCACACGTGCCCCAGCTCGTGGAGCAAGACCTGGAGACCGGGCGCCTGTGGGTGGTTCGGGGATTCCGCCGGAGTATTTCGTTGCCAACTTCGTGATCCCAAAACCCAGGATGGAAACAAAGAACTGGCTCTGGATCCGTTTGGTGGAACTTACTCCCCACCGCATGTTTTTTCGCGCACATCCCCGTACATTCCCCCTCGATACTCAAAAAAACAACTCGTTGATGTTGATGAATGGGCCCTCCAAGGTGGCCGCGCCGCACGTTCTTCTCTCCGAGCAACTGTGATCAAGAGTAATGGCCCTGCCACCACAACCGCCAAGATCACTGATTGCCAGGGGTGCCCTGCCAACATGGTGCTGATGCCAGCGAGAAGAGCCACCAAGGGCAAGAAGACGTGTAGTCCTTGAATCGGCGTCGTCAAACTTGAATCCAGTCTGGGGAGGGCCCACCTGGGGAACAGGAATTTGGGAAACACCTCAGCGAGCGCCAATCACCTGCAATACTCTGAACATGGCCTTATAATCCAACCATTCTCCAGGTGAGTCCCAACAACCAGCCACCACCCAAGCCACTTGCAAAAATGTCCAGAGATTCCAAAAGGACTCTCTGAAGAGAACCTCTAGAGGCGTGTTGGGGAGGTCGGGGAGTAGCAAAAAACTAGTACACGCATAAAAATATGTAAAAATAGTTAATGATGACTTGCCACTAAAGCTTCGGATCGGAATCCCCATGATGCTGCCACAAGGCACGGAGAGGTATTCCATGCCACGCACTTCGCCCTCCGGCATCGCGCCGGAAGAGGCACCGAGGCCCGTCCGCCGCGCGGCGCTGCGCTTGAAAAAAGAGCTGCACCGAGGCCGAGGCCCGAGGTCGGTGCGTCGCCCGAGGCCCGTCCGTCGCCCTGAGACGGCCCGTCCGTCTGAAAAGGTTTGAACAAATCACTTGCTGGACCCAAGTTGAGGATTGTCGAAGTCGCACTAAACCAAAGCTCGATGAAGGCGTGCGATTGGGTGAAAATATGTGAAGATCAAATTGGAAGAACATCTCCCCATTGGTGCTCCATCAATATCATTACCGTCGGTGGCTTCACCACCACCACCAACCGAAACATATCGGAGCGTTTCTGCTGAACTGAAAGCCATGCATCCCATGCCTTTAAATAGATGCGTACTTCTGCGCACTTGTCCAGCCCAGCCTGCACATGTTCTTTGTACTTCACCCTGCATGTGAACCTCTTTGTCGTACCCAGCGTGGGTTCCTGTTGGTCTGGGAACAAAAGTATAACAAAAAACATCAATCCACTCGCGCCACTTGGTGCCCTGAATCGTTGGACACTTGAGCACTCCATGTGACTTAGTCCCTTCAGCTGTTCCTCAAGGCAGGACATCCTGTGCTCTCTCTCTCCCTCTCGCAAGTGCCTTGCCGCTTCATTTTAGCCATGGCAGCCCAACATGGCAGCCATTCCAGGAATTCTTCAGCGCAGTCAGCGCAGTCGGTGGAACATCGCTCCGGTCTTTCCGGCCGAAATCCACTCGGGTGCTCGGAATGCCGGACAGCTCGGGTGGTCCCCCAAGACCGACCTGCGAGGTCTTAACCGGCTTGCAAGGCTGAGGACATCCAACTCTCCGAGGTTATATATGTGATATGCCATATCTAGATTCGTTGTTTATTTGTTATTTAAGTATATATATATATTAAATATTATTAAATATGTCATGTTAGCATCTGAGTTCATGTTCAATTGTCTTCATTATCTTGAAAAAGCGAAGGCTCTGCCATCACCGATCACGGCGGAGGGAGAATACGTCCAGGTTGCCTGCAAACATAATCTTTGCGAGCATGTTTATGCAGCAAACAATCCTCTTGTGTATCTACACTCCGGCTAACGTGGAAGTGGGACCGCCCGACCGCCCTGTGCCTGTGCAAGGTCGCAATGGAAGTAAAACACAAATCCGTTGAAGTTCTTCTAATTAGGTCTCGTCTGATGCATTCTTTTACGTCTGATGCAATGCGTCCCAGGTTTTTGTCTGGCCTTTTTGAAGTCATCCCATCATCCAATCAAGTTCTCCACAACAGGCTCGACTTCACCTCGGCATGGTGAGTGTGCTTCACTGAGGATGAATTCAACATGCTTCAAGAACGAAGACCATCTGCTTCGCTCTGTTGAAGTCTGATTCTTTGATTCTTGTTACATCGGACTCACCGACATCGACCGACATCAAGCGCCAAATGTCCGACATCACGGGGCGTGGTCGGCAAACATCTGACAAACCAACGGTTCAAGGATGAGGACGATCGACACTGAGTCACTCGAATGCTTTCAAGCCGACGCCGCAGCTTTGCATAGCTGAGAGCAGGCAGAATACGATGGGAATATGCTGTCATGCTGTCTGGCACATGCCTTGGAAGGGTGTCAATCTGACTGTTATCACCATGAAGCAGCGCGCATGCTCCTCTCCCCTGCCTTTGTTTTCAACGCACAACAATGCCGATGGATGCGGCAACCACCGATAATGCTTTAAACAGAATCGATGTACTGTATAAGTATAAGTATCTTCTTCACTGTTCCATGTCTGGTAATGGTAGCCAATGTCCTTGCATATTCTTGCTAAGCAACCATAAGCAAACTACAAACAGTACTGCAATAGTTCAGGCGCTCCTCGCCTGAACCGGGAGCTGCATATTCGCAGCAGCCACCAATATTGTTTTGAACAGTAATGGTGGTGGGTCCATGTCTCGTCCGGGTTGCCCAAAATCAGAACGAGTTTTGTGAGTGTGCTGCCGCAGCACTGCCAAAACCATTAGACAACCAACACCAAGTACTGACCTAAACAGGGAACCAATGTCTTCTTGCTAAGCAACCACGGAGACTAATTACACAAAAATAGCTGGTTGGCTATCGCCAAACCGCAAATTCACTCGGTGTCACGAATCCCGTACACTGTCGGAGCAAAGCCTGCCTTCTCTATTTCATCGACCACGCTGATGAGGTCTAGATGTATTTGTTTGTAGAGCGCTTTGCTGATGCCCAAAATGCTAACGAACATGCTGATCGTGAGCTGGATTGCTGAGAGATTGTTGACGGAGGAGGCCAAAGCAGCGGCTTGGATGGGGACAGAAAGAAAAGCTTCTACGAGCTTCTCAGACTGCAATACTTGAAGAACTATGTCAGTCTGATAGCCCACATCGAACGACTGTCTGATGCCATCTACAATGGCCCTGAATCCAAGTCGCATCTGCTGGATAAAACTCAAAAGAAGCACCAAAAACTGCAAGGACATCAAAGTCCACTGCTGGCTGAAAGCCAGATTCAATAGAGTCATGACATCAAGGCAAACATCCAAAAGAAAATGTCCCAGCTCCAGACTCAGTAGGACTTTGAATCTCTGCCCGGAGAACACCTTCCCTTTGGCCAGCTCTAGGAAGCGACCCAAGTTCTCTTTTTCGACTCTGATCTTCTTTTTGAGCTCAAGGCGATCTACTTTCTTCTTGTCGAAAAGGATTGCTAAGCAAGCAAAACAACATGGTGCAAGAAGGATGCAAAAGCAGGGCATCAAAAGCTTGCACGCATTTTGCTCAATCATTGCAATCCATCCTCTCACCCCATCCTCCAAAGGTAGCAAAAAGCAAAGGTTGCGGTGCACCCATGCAAAGAACTCCGGATATCTTAGACATCTGCAATCTGCGATCCATCGAAGAGCCTTCTGAGAGCAGTCTGCGTCGCCATCCACAAGCTGACTCGTCCGGCTATGGCTATTGATTGCAGCGTGCCTCGCATCACCAACGTCACATGCGGCTGGACAGCTGGCAAGGTCTTCCGTCTTACAGCAAGCCCAGAATTTTTCCGCAAACTTGGCTTCCGCTTCATCACATGGTATGCGTAAGCCAGGAATGCAAGTGGATCCATACTCTGGTTCAGTCCCGCCTTGGATCGTAACATCTCCAGCAGTTTGCTGAATCGCAATATTTGCAGCACCTTGCGCCCGTTTTTCAAACAGACTGACACCAGGCCCTGAAAGGTGGGAGCCAACCAGATATAGAATGGCTGAAATCACCAACATGAGGGTCATCGCCGCTCGAACTCCTGCAAAGAATGTTAACCGCGGTTCCTCTGCTGCTCGGTTGATGCCAAACATAGACCTTCTGCTTCCAGCAACTATGAGAGCGGGTCGACGCAACAGCTGAAGAAGGTTACCATGATCCATGAAAGCTCCAAACGCAGCAAAACATACCCCTGCGATATACAGCTGGTCGTTCAGAACAAAGGCAAAGGCCAGGAAGCTAAAGTCCGCAAACACGCGAAAAAACTGCATCCACCAAACATGCCATGCAATGCAAGCAGCCTCGCGTCTTAAGACTCCCTCCACTGCCATGACATGGATGCTGACAGGGAGTCTCGTCATGGCCAGTCCACTGCCGGAGCACTGGCCACTACGAACGAACCCCTCGCCAATTCAAACATGAAAGCACCAAAAGCAAACATAAACACATGGCTAGTAACGTCAACAGAATGCTGCTAGAATGCTGCTAAAGTATGTTGTGTAGAAGTAAGTAACAGTTATATGATGTTATAATAGATGATGTTGTAAATAATGCCACAGGTGCTGCATTAAAGGTAAAGGTTTCTTCTAATCTAATCTAATTATAATAATGCAATTGTATATTGTGTTCTGCCCTCTTGCCAAATCCAACCCAATGGGCCTTATACATCTTGATTCCCTGGCGCGGCTTTCTTCTGGAGCAAACTTGAGCAGCCGTGGGCTGCTGTCGGAGTCACCTTTTCGTCAACCCGACTCGTGAGTCAAGTCAGCGCAGCTGGAAACAAAACTTGAGGCCAGGGGGGAGGAGGTCGAAAGCTAGCCGAATCGCACCGAATGTACTACAGTAGTTACATAGTCGGCAAAGCATGTAGTGATTACATGTTTTGGGAGAAAGGTTGCTACGTACATACTGTGCGCTGAAGAATGTACATGTGACATCGCCGACTGGGAAGGGTACATTGGAACTCGTTGGCAGGCACGAAGATGCGTGATCGGCAAATCTGGGGGTTAAATTTACCCCCCCGCTTTTGTATGCCTTGAGTCGGAAACAGGGGTAAGCATTTCTGACATCACTCGGACTGTCCATACACTAGGGCGTCCGTAGTGTAGGAGAAGCACGGGTAAAAGTAGAGTGTCTTGAGGAAATAGCCGGCTTATGGTTATTGCAAATCTGGGGGTTAAATTTACCCCCCCGCTTATGTATGCCTTGTGCCGGAAAGAGGGGTAAGCATTTCTGGCATCACAAGGACTGTGCATACACTAGGGCGTCCGTAGTGTAGGATAAGCACTGGGACAAGGTACGGTATAAGGAGTAGAGTGTAAGCACTGGTACAAGGTACGGTATAAGGAGTAGAGTGTCTTGAGGAAATAGCCGGCTTATGGTTATGGCAAATCTGGGGGGTAAATTTACCCCCCGCTTATGTATGCCTTGAGCCGGAACGAGGGGTAAGCATCACAAGGACTGTGCATACACTAGGGCGTCAGTAGTGTAGGATAAGCACTGGTAAAAGGTATCAGGAATAGAGCGTCTTGAGGAAATAGCCGGTGTATGGTTATAGCAAACCTGGGTGGTAAATTTACCACCCGCTTTTGCATGCATTAGGATTGAAATAGGGGTAAAGAACTTGTAACAGTGAAGTGCAAGTCCTACGCAGCAAGCAGCAGCCAGCAGCCAGCAGCAACCACCAACCAGCAGCCAACCAGCAGCACCACGCAGCAGCAGCGCAGCACCAAGCCGCAGCAGCAGCAGCACCACCAGCAGCAAGCAGCAAGCAGCAGCAGCAGCGGCGTCGTCAGCAACAGCAGCAGCAGCACCAAGCCGCAACAAGTAGCAAAGCAGCAGCTACAAAAGCGGCAGCCTCAGGCAGCAGCAAACAGCAGCAGCAGCAAGCAGCAGAGCGGCAGCAGCAGCACCGTTTACACCAAGCCACCGTTTACACCCAACCAACCACGTTCACACGTTCAACCAACCCCCGCTACACGGCGCAACTGGGAGTCGAACCGTGAGGGGGGGAGGGTGGGGAGGGGGGGGGTTAGCGTCATATATCAAGCTTTAAGGCACACAGTTCATCCCACTACCAATTGCTAAAGCAAAGAAGAACTCAGCTAGCATGCTAGCTTTCGTGATTTTGCCAAACCACACATGTCCAAGACAGTAAATTCAAACACTTTGCTCTCAGGTAATGAAGATTCATCAACTGACGAGGCACAGCCGAAATGTTATGTGATGCATCCACAAGAAAAAACGAGCAAATGATCATGCTTCCGACGAAGCTGACCATGCTTCCGACAAAGCTCGTCAATGAATCCTAAATACAAACACTAAGTCAGTGGATGTTTTGCAAAAACGCATGCAAAATCCCATGAGTGTCATCTTGATTATCCAATAATTACATGTGTTTCCGCTATCCAGGATCATCATCCAAAATTCAAGTGCATGATGTCTTTGACATCCTGGCTTTGAACGCACACCCCAAAATCCAAAATACCAAACAAAACACCAACAATTTCCAACATGTAACAACACCTCCACTAATGC